GGAAAGGGCCTGGTTCAAGGCTGGGCACAGTGGTTGCTCAGCACTTCCTGAGGCCAGGATCCCTCTCAGCAAAGCAGTTATTTCTTGTACCTCCAACCTCCCCCTCCTGCAGCCTGTCCCTCTCCCGTGGTACCCTTCTCTCTACTCTGTGGGACCTAGAGCCTTCATGCTCTTTTGTCTCTTGCCCTATGTCAGGAAAAGCTTTGGAATATACTCCTACTGACAGGTAGGACAATGTAGTATGTTTCTTCCCTCAGATGCATTCACATGAGAGGATGAAATGAATCTCTAATGATAGAATTTCAAGAGACCCCTGGGGGAGGTATCTTGGAGGAAGAGAACAAATCTACATGTTCTTAAAATGCTACATGATTACTCTTTAGTAACAGTAATCATAGCTTTTGGATCTGAAAGGTCTAGCTCATATACTCCAACCCTCTTATTTTGCCTCTAAAATGACATCATCTGTCTTAGGTCATATAGGTAGTAAATAATAGAGCCAGGATTCTTCTTATTCTTCTTCCTAGACATGGAGAGTCTACATGACTTGTTCAAATTCACTTGGCTATTAAGTGATGGAAAGGGATCACCTTAAACTTGGGTTTTCTGGTGCTAAGCCTCATACTTTTCCTACCGCACTGTGCTTATCACAAGACGACTGGGGGCCTTCTCTCCAGTGCTCCCTGTGGTCTTCAGTGCTTTCTCTTTGCTTGTTCTTTTTTCCCTTCCCCATGTCCTACTCTTTTTTCTTCCCTGCATATGCCTTTGGAACACTCATTGGTATGGTACCCTGACATACTCTCTTGGGACTAAGGTGTCCTAGTAGCCTAGAAAATCCTCCCTTAGCTGGCAGGGAGAGGATGTGTGTGTGGGGAAAATCTGGCATCCTTTTTTGGCCATTAATAAATCTCCAGTAGCACAGGGGCAAGCTCAGAGATGTGGACATAAAAGGCATTGGAACCGTGGGTGGAAACAGCCAACAGGAGCCGAGTTTGGGGGGTGATGGTGGTGGTAGGCGGAATGCAGTTTAAGGTTGCAGAGCAGAAGGATCCAAAATGCCAAGGTTGAGTAGAAACAAGTAACCTGGAATGAATCAGTGTAAAAGGCTGGGGAGTTAATAGGATCTGGGAAATGAGGTCTGAGCCCGTAACCTGATCCAGCTATATATCCAAAGGAAGGTGTAGCTCTGGAAGAGGGAGAGAGGGGAGTGATGGGGAGTCAGGTTGGAGAGTGGGAGAGAGAAGGGGTGGTAGGTCTAGAGAATTTGTATGAGGGGAGGATGGAGAAATACTTTTTCTTCCCTTAGGATACTTTGGGAAGAACATCTGGCATCCTGCGTTCATTTCTGGGCACCTCATTACTAGAAACACAAAGGCCATCTGGAAGGAGGACTGAGGAGAGGGAACTGTCAGGACACCTGGGTTCTTTTCCTGGCTCTGCCATCAACCAGTTGTGTGACCTTGGACGAGTCCCTTCTGATCTCTGGGCTTCAGTTTCCTTATCTGTAACATGAAGAGATCAGACTAGATATTCCTTCAAGCTCTGGCATTCTCTAATTTTCTAAGAATAAATGATAGCTAACATTTCTAGAGCATTTTTTAACCTTCATAAAGCACTTTATAGATAATAGCTCTGTGAGGTAGGCATTATTATTGTCTCCATTTTATAGATAAGAAAAATGAAGCTAACAAAGGTTATATGACTTGCCCAGGGTCACACAGCTAAGTAAGTATCTGAGGTAAGATTTGAAGTCAGATCTGAATGAGTCTAACATTCTATCTACTGTGCTGTCAAGATGAGAAGTTAGAATGGCTGAACTCAGAAGAAGGAAGAGAAACTAATGTAATACTCTTGGCTTGAGATGAAGCGGAGAAGGCTGGACATGACTTTTTTTAAAAATAAATTTTTATTGACATCTTTTGTTTTTACATCATGTGAGTTTCTCATTGTATCTTTCCTCCTTCCCCAGAGAGCCATCTTTTATGATAAAGAATAAAAACGGGGTCGGGGGGCGGACAAAACATTTCATCAGTCAGTCAGTCAATAAGCTTTTATTAAGCAGTTGCTATGTGCCAGGCGTCTCTTCCCTCAAGTAGCTTGCATCAAAGGAGTCTAACATTCCATGGATTATTCCACATTTCTCATCCCCACCTCTGCAATAAAGGGTAGAATTGTACCTCCCAGAGAGCTATCCTATGTAACAAATAGTCTTTAAAACAAACAATAAAGAAGAGGAAAAATTGACGTAACTTAAAAATGCATAGAAAAAGTCTGAAAATACATGTAGCGTGCAATACTTGTAGACCTCCAACCCTCTCCAAAGGGGAGGGATGGGAGTGTCTTCCCATGTCTTCTTTCAAATCATGCTTGATCTTTATAATTTTGTTACATTCACTTCTGATTTTTTTTAGTGTGGTTCTTCTTTCCATTTGCACTGTTGTAGTCATTTTGTGGGGCAGCTAGGTGGTACAGTGAATAGACTGTGCTGGGCTCAGAGTTAGGAAGACCTGAGTTAAAATCCAACTTTTGACACTTACTAACTGTGTGACCCTGGGCAAGTCACTTAACCCTTATTTGTCTTAATTCCTCATCTGTAAAATGGGGACATACTGGAAAAGGAAATGGAAAACCATTCCAGTATCTTTGCCAAGAAAACTCCTTGGACAAGTCCACTGGACATGACTGAACAACAACAAAATCACTGTGTGTATTATTTTTTTGTTTTCTTACTTCACTGTGCATCAATTCATGGAGGTCTTCACATGCTTCTCTGTATTTGTCACATTCATCATTTCTTATGCATTTTGAAGCCATTCTCTGTGAGCTCCCATTTCGTGTTACTCTTATCACTCAGATGCCTATTGCCACTCTCCTCCTTTACCCTTGTCTCACGTGATGAAGTGGCCTCACTTCTTAGCAAGGATAACCCCTGTACCTGTTCAAGTGATTCCATTTTTTAATTTTTAAATTGTTAATAGTATGATCTTTAATATTTAGGTCATGTATCCATTCAGACTGTATTATGTAATATGGTGTAAGGTGTTGGTCTAAGCCTAATTTCTGCTAGAATGCTTTCCAGTTTTACTAGCAATTTTCATCACATAGGGAGTTCTTTTGTAAGTAAGTTATGATTCCTGCATTATTAAATATTGAGTTATTGAGTTCCATTATTTCTTATTCTCCCTTCTCGAGTCTGTTCCATTGATCTCTCTATTTTTAAACCAATACCAAATGATTTTTATACTACTGCTTTATAGTATAGTTTGAGGTCTGGAGGTGCTATTCCCCCTTTGTTCCTACTTTTGCCCATAATTTCCCTTGATTTTGGTATAGGTGGGTTTCCAAAGAGATTGTGGATACTATGTCCCTAGGATCACTTCAGATGAGCTAGGCACGCCCAAAGTGATGTCATTAGGGAATGACCCTTACCTGATCCCTCTAAAGAGGTATCTAGTTCTGCCTTTCCATGTTTCCTGTTGTCTTGTGTGTTTAATGTATTGTTGGAACATCCACCTATTTTTGGACACTTGGCCAATGAGTGGGGCTGTTTGATCTTATGTTTGTACTCCTTATTCAAAGAGGTTGGGCCAATCTATGGAAGGTACAGGTCTTCCCTTAAAGCTCAGACACAGATTGCTTCTCTGCTTCTCAGACACTGTGCTATTAATCAACAACATAATATCTGAATTCTTAGAATCTAGATCTTGTTAATTGGCAAATAATTTAAAGATAATCGATCAACAAGCATTATATGCTAGGCACCAAGCTAGTCACTGGTGATACAAAAACAGAAACAGAGCTTACATTCTATAGGGCGAAACAGGCATATACATACAGGTACATGCACATGCTATCTACATAGATATCTATCTACACATATGTGTCCACATATATTGTGTATATATGTACACATATATGTACATACGTTTACATATAAGGGACAGTTATATGGGGCAATGGATAGAGGGCCAGGCCTGGAGTTAGAAAGATACATCTTTCTGAGTTCTAATCTGACTTCAGACACTTACTAGCTGTATGACCCTGGGCAAGTCAATTAATCCTGTTTGCCTCAGGTTTCTCCATCTGTAAAATGGTCTGGAGAAGGAAACGGCAAACCACTTCAGTATTTTTGCCAAGAAAACCCCAAATGGGGTCATAAAGAGTCAGACACGACTGAAAAATGATTGAACACCACCACCACACAGTATGTCTATGTGTTATGTGTATATATACACACAAATATATCCATGTATTTGGATACACATACACACACATATATATAATAAATTCAAGACAATTTTGGGGAACAAAAAAGTGTTAGAGAAGAAAGAGTGCTGGATTTGGAGCCAGGAGATTTGGGTTTACATCCTGCCTCTGAAACATACTGTATAACTTTGGAATAGTCACGTAACCTCTCTTGACCCTTAGTATCCTAATCCATAAAATGAGTATAATATAGTTGTATTACCTCATGAATTATTTTGAGGAAAGTAATGTATATGTGTGAAATGCTATAAAAGTGTCAGATATTGTTAATATGGCTTGCTAGCTCTTATGCAGTATAACATACATTTGAAGGGGTATTAACTTTCTGGGTACCGACAAATTGAAGGATAATCATGTCATATAGACAAGGGACAATGTCTGCCTGAGATACACTCAAGAGGATGGTCAGAAGGTGTTTCTTAACTCCCACAGGGTATCTGCCTGAGAACTAAGAGGGGAGAAAAAGCTAGTAGAAGGACCTAGGAATGAGTAGCTAACTGTGAGTTGAGGTGAGGGCCAGTGGCCTGAAGGCAAGTGGTGGGTCAGGTTGGTAGGCTGCCAGCAGAGATGAGGCTGGTCAGAAGTCAGGCAGAGCTTGAGGTCCCCCTTTCAAAGGGAGGAGAGATATGGGAGGGCAGGCATTTGGAGGGAGCCTCCACCTTCTAGGGCCAAGTTTTCATGGAGGGAGTCTTTTCTAACATGGTCACAAATTGGGGCTTTTTCTGTTGTTGTAGGGACAAAAAGGAGATCCTGGGCTATCCCCTGGAAAGGCCTATGATGGTGAAAAGGTAGGTTCCTCAGGAGCTCTGAGCTCATGGGGGAGTAGTGGCATGAGCTGACGTCAACAGGGCTTGAGGTTTTTTACCAGCTTACTCAGAGATATAAATCCCATTAATCCTCAGGAGTTAGGAGGAGCCTCAGCACCCTGGGGCTACCAAGTAAGGCACCTCCAAGCAGTCAAAAACTAGGAAACACCGCTTTGGTCTTCAGCTTTACGAGATGTTAACATTAACTAAGGAAATCCTTAGTAAGATGTACTCACCTTCTCAATTTGGGTAAGTGATGATTTATGTCAAGGGAAAATATTGATTATGTAGACTTTCTACCTACATTCTTCCTGGGGCAGACTGTTACAGAGAAGCAAAAACATGTGCAGGTGGCTGGATTGCCTAATAATTTGTAAGGCTGTCAGAGACCACAGTTACATAGTGGAAGAGCTTTCCTAAGCCATTATTTGAGCAGCAGGGCTGCATCTTTGTTAAATACTCAGTGCTTTGCCAGTCATTCTCTTTCTAGGAGACAACCTGGAAGTCTGGGCCACATGATATAGTGGAAAGAGCATTGGATTTGGTGTTAGGAGACCCGGGTTCAAATCTTGGCTTCACCACTTATTTATGAGCTATGTTTTTTGTGGGCATGATACCTCTTCACCTCTTTCACCTTGGGTTTTTACATCTTGAAAATCAAAGAGTTAGACTAGATGATGAGATGGGATTGCTAAGGCCCTTTCCACTGATTTCCTATGATCCTTGTGATAAGTATTCTGGGCATGGCCCCCAGCTCCCCCTCTCACTCTTGGAATCCCTTATAAAGACCTTTTTTATGTGGCTTCCTTTCTCCTTTGCACCCTGCTTCCCTAACACCTAAGTCAGGGAAGCGTGAGGGTCCCTCAGCCCCTTTTCTGAGCACAACTTTCCTCTAGGTGCCCCGGGGAATGCTGTCCTCCCAGCTGCAGTGGGGAGCCCTGACCAAGCTTCTGGCTCTCCATGCTAATCAGTTATTAGAGATGTGTGTTGGTTGCCTGTATGTAGGAAAAGGTGGCCATGAGTCCGATCACTTAAATCACATAATAAAGGGCTCTGTGATGCTGGAAAGTCGGGAGGCCTGGGATTCTATACACTGAAGTCATAAAATAGAAATTACTTGTGCCAGAGGATTTAATCTATCCCTTCAGCGTCCCCAATAAACCAAGGGAGTTGGAGGGTGGTAATCACCCAGAAGCACTGGAAATCTGTAAATCCATTCTCCTCCTCTGCCCCCGCCATCCAACCCTCCTCCTAAATAGCCAGGAACAAGATCACTCAGCATCTCACATACAAGGGAAAGAACTTTATAGTTAGTTAGTCTGGCTTTCCTCTGGATGCTACCCAGAAACTCTTCCAATAGGAGCAGACATTGAACTAGTGGAGTCTTTGTTTAAAGTCCCAACCCAGGGACCCCATGGGAATTAGAAACAGCTGGCCACTTCTTTTCCACGTTGGAGGTCATTATAAGATGTAGAATTTAGCCTCTGTTAAAGAGAACATAATCTGGAATCTAGAGTCCCCAGTCTAGGGAATGAACCATTGTTGGAATCCTGCATGGAATACCTCTTAAAGCTGTGTGCTTTGAGGAATGTAGGAAGCAATTGAATTCTCAAGGCAGTCACCATAAGATGAGAAGATGTGCTATATCTGGTACATAAGATGAGACCTTCCTAAAAGGATAAATGAGCCTACAAAACAAAAGCAAATGGCTACATGGGAGGTGTGATGACCCTCAAGGTGATTCCTTACCCTTTTGTGTTGCAAAGCTGGTCAGAATAGCTGTTATAGCATCACCCCCTTTTGTGTTTTCAGGGAGACATAGGCTTACCTGGACTGACTGGGACTCCAGGACCAATTGGCCGAAAGGTAGGTTGTTTTGTTTTTTTCTTTCAATTATTAGAAGGACCCATTACTTGGGTTGGGAAGCCATTTGCTAGTATCTAATATTTTCTCCACAACCCTATGGTTTTAGATGAGGGAACACTGAGACAAGAGGCAGAGTGGAATAGGGTTTACAGAGTTTGGTATTCAAGAACCCAGGATTCTTGCTCTTATTCTGCAAACATCTAGCTGTGTGACTTTGAACCAATCACTTCCCCATCTTAGGCCTCAGTTTCCTCTTCTAGACAGTAATTCCCTCCTGTCCCCTTGCTTAGAATGCCCTTTCCTCTTTTCTCTTGTATTGTTGTTGATCTCTTATCTATTGGCCCCACCTTCCTAACTAAATCATAAGTGTCTTGAGCTTAGGGCCTCCAGCAGCATGCCTCTCACATTGTAGGTGCTCGATACATATTTGTTGATGAATCTAATGATGCCTGGACACTACTTAAGACCAGGCCACAGACTTTTTTAATGATATAATAATGGCCATGTCCAATAATGATATCAGACAAAGAACCATTTCTTATGGATAGGGACCCCTCAACTCCAAGCTGTGGTTACAGCTGCCTTTGTCTTCAAGATCATCTCTTTTCCATCATGGTCGGCGGTGATATTGGCCATTGACATCCCAGCCAGGTCCTTCTTTAGTCTTTGGTTGTGCAGGATTTCAGTTCTGGGCTTCCTTTGGTGTTGGTTGCATGTGTGGTGGGAAGGAAGAGAATCATCTCTCCCACTCTCCTTGCTCTCTGTGAATTTACTCAGTATGGTACTGAAAATGGGTACTCAGTATTGGGAGGGCAGAGCAGTCAAATAGGCCAGTTCCAGGCCCCTTAATTCAAACCTGGAGGAGCCAAACCCAGACAAGAAGCTGAGGGTGTCTACAGGCTATGGGGAAATGCTGATTTTTTTGGCCCAGGGAAATATTGTAGGCCTCTTTACTCCTGGGTTGCAGCCCTGTTCTAATGGATGAAGTGTGGGTTACATAGTTTTCCTACACTAGCAGCTTATAAAGCAGAGTGTGGTGGTTTTGATGTGTACAGCCCTCAATCTGGGCTGGAAATGATGGAGAGAACTCTTTCAGTTTGCCCCAAAGGTCCATGTTAACCTGGGGAGGAGTTCCCCATGGCCTGGTTGGAGGGCAGGTAAAAGGTTTAGCTAAAAGAAAGCTTATAACCTGAAACCAAGAAGATAAACCTGTTCACCTAGGTGCAGCATGACTTGTCTTTCTAAATTCAGAAAAGGTCTCTGTGGTTGGAAAAATACTTGGCAAAACAACATACATTTTGAATTCCCTGATGGCCTCAATCCAGTCTAAATATCATGAACTTGGTCTACCAGGGAGAGGATATCTTCCATTCCAAATGGGCACAGAGAGAGAGCCTAGGAGAGTTTGAAGCTCATATGAGGATTCAACCAGTTTGGGCAGGGAGAATGGAAAAGAGTCAGCTGGGCATAACAGGAAATTCTCACATAGGTATTTTTCTAATTGAGCCTTCCAGCTGCAAGGCAGTTTCTTTTCTGGGTTTTCTCCATCCACCAGGAACATTTTTTCTTTGTGAGAATAGATGAGTCTCCTCTTTTACTTCAATGAGAGTTGCCTGTAGTGGTGTCTTCTCTTTCCCTGGCATGGTGGAGATCCTGAAGGGTGACATCGTCTTGGTGGGTGTCTGAGTTGGCCCTACACTTTGTTCTTCACTAGTTTGATTGTAGCCTCTTCAAAGAGAGACAGGTCTTAAGTGGACCTCAGATGTGTTTGACTTTTTTTTTTGGTATTAATCTTTAGGAGCTGACATCTCCCCAAATCTGAATCCATGACCTGGTTAGTATCCTTAGAGGGTCCTTTTAGATGAAGATATAACTGACTCTCTCTTTGTAAGTCACTGTAGAGGTTGGTTTTCAAGGGAACCTGCCAAGACCTGAGTGCTCACTTAATGACGTGCAGGAGAAACCTGAATGTCCCAGGACGCCCCTTGAGAACAAGCCTTCTAAAGTCACTTAGAATAGTCTAAGGAGAATCAACCATAGTTGATCAAGTCACAGTTATTCTGATTCTTTGGGGTTCTAGAGATGGAAATCCAAATGATAATGTAGCCCTTCCTTGTGACGGTAATAGACTCCTCATCATTCCAGATCTCAATGCCCAGCCCTGCTGCCTCAGGTCAGATGCTTATATGGCAAAGACTTGGTTGGCACAGCCAACAAGAGTGTCCACTTTGGTTTCCCATCTGCTGGTTCTTTGTGAGATCTTTGTGAGATGAGAGGCAGATAGGTAATACAGTCTCACACTGACTCAGGCACTGCTTCCTTGCGTCAGGCATCTGACCTTTCCCATGGTTGGCCTCTATGTCTTTTCAGCGCTTTGTACCTTTGTTCAGAGCTCATATTTCCTCGGCAGCCTCTGGGGCGTGTCTCTTATTTCTCTTCAGGAAGCTCTACCTCTCAGCCGGTTGGCTCACTCCTTTGTCCTGTAAGTCCCTAGTGGGTGAACTGGGGTGCTCCTCGCCAGTAACTGGACAGAGGAACTTGGATACTTGGACAGCCTCTGACCAAAATGACTATCAAGATCTCATCTGTAGCTGATGCCATCTGCATCCTTTCCTTACGTAAGCTGTGTCAGTGTATTCACAAAATACTAGTAGGAATTGTAAGAACTGGGTTCTAGACTTAGGTCTATTACTAACTTTCTGGGTGATCCCAGATGAGTCTAGCCCCATCCCATCCAATTTATTTATTTTTATTTTGTAACAGGCTAGTTCTTCCTTCCTTAATCGGGCTGGAAGTGTAGGGGCTGCTCATGGGCCTGTTCCCACTCTGATCATCACGGAAGCCTTGACCTGCTTTGTTTCTAACATGGGCAGAATCTCCCCTCCTTAGGCAACCTGGTGGTCTTTCTCTGACCCTGCACCTGGGGACTCACCATATTTATGTCAAACTTAGTGAAGAAACTCAATCAGCTTAGCCCACTGCAGCTCAGAACTCCTGAGCTCGAGAGAGCCACCAGATTTAGCCTCCCCGGCAGTAGGCGTATACCACCTTACCTGACCTCAACTAAATTCAGTTTAACAAGCATTTAGTAAGCAGGGACTTTGGGCCAGGCACTGTGCTAAGAACCGGGAATACAAAGACAGAAATGAAAACAATCCTTTCCCTCAAGGAGCTGGCATTCTCCTAGGAGCAAACAATATGTACACAGATGAGTAAATGCAAAAAATATGCCAAATAATTTCAGAATGGGTGGGGGGGAGATCAAAAAATTTGGGTTCACCAGATGTCTGATCTGGAAGGGACCTGAGAATATAGTAATTTTTTCTTGAAGTTTCATTGATGACCTTCGTTTTTTATACCTTGATCATTTCTGAATATTAACCACCCCTCCATCACAGAGTCCTCTTTTATCAAATAAATATTTAAGCAAAACCAACCCACACATGCTCTACAATGTCAGTAGTCAGTAGTCTTTCTATTATTAGGAGCAAAGTGTTTTTCCTTATCTTTTTTTTCTGGAATCATTATTTGTCATCAGAGGCAGGTAGGTAATACAGCAGATAGTGCTGGACCTGGAGTTGGGGAGACCTGAGTTCAAATGTGACTTTAAACCCGTTAAGAGCTGTGTGATCCTGGTCAAGTCACTTAAGCTGTTTGCCTCAGTTTCCTCATCAGTAAAATGGGTATAAGTCGCTCCCTTCCAAGGTTGTGAGTATTAAATGAGATGATTTTTGTAAAAGCACTTTGCAGACCTTAAAGCTCTATATAAATACTAGTGATGATGATGATGATGATGATGATTATGTTTAATCTTAGCTCAGCCATCCATATTGTTTCCACCTACATCACTGTGTACAATAATAGCACCTACCTTCTAGGGTTGTTCTAGTTAATAATTGTAAAGTGCTTAGCAAGGTACCTGCCACACAGTAAACTCTATATAAATGTTGTTGTTGTTGTTGTTATTATTATCATGGTTTTGTTTTCTTTACTCAACAACATTCACATAAGGTTTCTGGTGTTGCTCTTAATTTCTCATCATCTTAATTTCCTAGGGTGCAATGGTATCCCATTACACTTATGTATCACAATTTGTTGAGCCATTCTTTGGGAGTCAATGGGTACCCACTCTTTTTCTAGTTTTCTACTAATTACCACCAAAAGTGCTGCTAAGGATTTATTGGCATATCTGGAGCCTTTCTGTTTTTAACCTTGTATGCCCAGCAGTAAGGATCATGGATCAAATGGAGATAAAGAGTTTAGTAACCCTCTCTCACACAATTCCAGATTAGAACATAGGAATGTTGCCTTTTTGGGTCAAAGGATATAAACAGCTTAGTAACTCTTTCCCCAAATAATTCCAGATTGGAACATATAATGTTACACTTGGAAGATACTAGAGAGATCATTTAGTCCAGACCCCTCATTTTATAAATGAGGAAACTCTGAGCAAGAGAGACAAAGGTGACACAGCTTGTCACAGAACCTCTTAATGTCTGTTTCCTAGTTTGTAAGACAGGAGTAATGATAAGTTTTCCACCTATTTCATGATGGATTGTGATATAATACTATATATGTACATGATAAGTGTAAAGAGATATATGTTACGTTCAATAAATATTTATTAAGCACCTTCGATGTCCAAGGCACTGTACTTTATTAGGTGGTATTATCAATCAATGAAGTAAGCATTTATTAAGCACCAGTATGTGCCTGGTTATATGTTAGGAGTTAGGCACACAAGGACAAAAATGGAGCAATCTCTGCCCTCAGGTACAGATCATTTATTATTTTGCTTGTATCTCCAGCTCCTAGTCTAGTACTTGGCACATAATAGGTGCTTAATAAATGCTTCTCAAGTGACTGATTCTATTGGAGGAAACACAATATACATATATTACTATGTCCAAAATATATAGAAGGTAGTAGGGGAGACTAATTAGGAGCTGGGAGAATCAAGAAAGACTGTGTAGGAAGTAGTGTTTGATCTGAGCTTTGGA